ACCCGCGAATTTTTATGTACCTACCCATTTCCGTGAAACCGTAACGGTTTCATCGAATTGGCTTTATCCTTCTTATTCTTCGTTTAATTTCATTCTTTACATTTCCCACGGAAATCAATTGTATCAAACACCACAACTATTTAAAGAGATCGATTCTGATTCAAAGAGTGAAAAAAACGAATTTGTTTACACGTTTTCAATCTCAATGTTAACGCGTTATTGACGAATCTGATTTCATGCATTCACGTGAGCAATTACTGGAGTATAATACTATTAATGTTGTGACTACAATATTGTTTGTTTTATTACATAACATTCAATATGTTTAATTTGTGCTTACATTGGTAGTATTTCAATTATCGATCGAAGTTTTGTTTTATCCGAATATATAAATGACCGATTCCTAATCTGCAATTATGAAAGAGATAACAAATCGCTACAATAGATACACTCTTGGAGTTTCAATTTAACTGCTCGGTGATTTTAGCGTTGAAAAAAGAAGAGAACGAATATTTTCAATTGCCAAAACCTCCGAGCAGAAACATCCTTCGTTTCTTCCGTTTTTTCCTCGAGCAGGATCAGCGTGTATTCGATAAGATGTTCGGCATTTTTGTTATCATGGCTGCCGAGAAAGGAAAACGGAGGCTCGAGACATCGGAGGAAGCATTTTTAACTGTGCAAAAGGAGATCCGACGTATAGGTAAAACGTTCTGATTCGACAAGAACGCGACTAGAGATTTTCCACTCCTCCGTTCCCTCTGCCCGGCCGTGCTCCTTCTCCTTCAGCGTGGAGAGTCCTTGGAATACTCTGGCAGATCCCTCATATCTCCTAGGTTCCAACGCAATACGCGCATCCCTCGGTTTAACAGGCCTTAATCATCACAAGGACTTGCCTCGAGCCGAGCGTTTTCGTCCTGTGGCCGGTTACCGTGTACCCTGCAGCATCCCCGGTATATATGGCGCCGTCGCACCACTTAATCGCTCACCCCTTATGCAAGCAACTCTCCGGCGAACGTTTCGCGTAGATACCGAATAGGGAAAATATTTGGCTGGTTCAGCGTCAGCGTATCGCGCGTATAGGTAGAAATACAGATGGGATTCTCCGAAATATACGTATCCTTTTTATGCGCACAATAAATGCAGGGCATCGTGGAAAATTCTCTTTATTAATAATTGCATGGATTTTCAATTAATCGGTTGACTGCGCTCGGCGAGTATACGCGACATCTTAAAACGTAAAATGGCACTAATCTTTTCAATGATAAATTATTTACTGTTTCAGATAAACGTGTAATCCTTCTTCCTTTAGTTTTTCGTTAGAATATAGACGCATTTTCCCTGCGTTCGACGAGTATGCACTTTATTATTTGATTTTAAATTAAATTCCACAGTTAACTAGTTAAAAACATTTTTCTGCTGTTTTTGTCTAGTCGCGCCAATAGTTTGTGGGTGACTTTTAACAGCTATTACTTTCCGTATTCAGAGTGTCAGAAATTAAAGGTAAAATCAGAATTTGATTGAACGTTCACCAGGGTAATTGTTTTGTCCTAATTTTACGCAGAATATTTATCAACAAACTACAAGCTTATACAACTTTAGTATTTAATGAATGTTATGTTTTAAACTATTTTAACTATTTTTAATGGAACCATCCTACGTCCGTTGTACTATCATTTTACGAATATTTTGCATAAAAAATAGATATTTGATGGAGTTGAGACGAGAGTTTAGAAACTTAAATGAAATGATATTGTTTACACCGACAGATGGTTTCGTTAACTATAATATATACTGCAGATATTTATACAAATATACGTTGAAAACGAAAGAAAACTTTTTTCAATTAAGACTTTTAACGTACATCGAAAAAACTAATAATCTCAAAATGCTTCCTTACACATTTTTTCATACTAAAAGCTACATGTTCCTATAATAAAAAATCAGAAATGTTTTAAACGCGTAAAGTCCACATTCCGCGTAATTATTAACGTTTCTACGACGCCAGCGGATCTAGACCGGTTCCAATGAACGGGCAAACTGCGTGACTTCCTTTCGACCTCCGTTTTTGCACCCTCGGAGCAGCCGCCGATGCGTCGCGCGCGGAAATCTCGTAACGTTCGTGTCAAAATTTCCATAATTCGTTGTGATAATTAAGCGATCTGCATATTAACGTTCCGCGTCATGTCAGTTTCTCTTTTAAGGGCAAATGGTCCCTGGCACGATTCTGAAGTTCCTCTTCTGTGCCCACAATTTCTCCCCGCGTCCTGTTATTGGATTAGAGCGTTATAACGAGTAATATTCGCGTAACAGCCTCGTGTCTGGCTCCGCTTCACCCTTTTAGGTCGACGCAATGTGTGATTTCGCACACGCGACAGACGACGCGTGACACGGAACGGGAATCTCTCGTTGATATTGGAAAATTCGCGATTGTCTTTTTCTACTTTCCCGCCCTGTCCTGATGGACATCGAAACAATTGCCGAGTACATCGATTGGTATCGAGTGTGCATGAATTTTCCACGGTTTTCGTATTTCGCTATTTATTTATTCCTTTGTAATCGCCGTGACTTCGATTAAAAGCCAGGAAACACGGGAATACGACGAAAAAAGGAACAGTTTTGTTCTCTTTTGTGAAACGGAAATGAGAAAGGTGATTCGCGCAGTTTTTAATATAATCTCGTACGAACTTCGCGCGCAGTAAGCTTTCCCCATCGAATCAGGTAATTTTCGTATGAAATGGTAATTTTCATATTTTAAATGGCAAGAGAAATAAAAGTTTGTGTTTGTAACGATGAAGATTCCGCGTTTCGCGTTGCAAAAGCAAAAGAGACTTTATACGTGTCCTTAATTAAAGTCATAACGCACGGTATAACATTAAAGAAGCCAAAGAGGTTTCTTTGTTATATTTTTTTTTAATATGGAACAAAGAGGATTAATTGCATTTGATGAAATACTGTGACTGCGAAGACAATTTGGACAATAAATAATGATAGCGAATGACGGTAATTAAATTTCGTTCGTTTTACTGAACGAATGAGAATTACGAAGATTCGTTGAAATATTTTATTTAAATGCAATTAACAAATTTCTGACATTTATTAACCAAAGTTTCATTATTCAGAAATTCCTTTCTTCGAGACAAGATACGTTTCTCTGTCAGTTCGAATATGGAAAGCTCTATTGTATATTTTATTTTCAATGGACATACTATCTAATTGTCATTCTGTCGTGGCATGTTCAGTCTATCACTGACAGCTAATAAAACGATGGTCTACCGTTAATCGTCGACCCAACCTATTACGCGTCGAAGTCCAGCGGATCGAATTTACGATACTGTTATATAGTCCTTAACCATTTTTGATTGAAAGGTTTTCATACTGCAATCATCAACGCATTCCAAAAGTTCGCTTCTACTAGCAGCCTTAGTAGCAATAACGTCTTGAGATAACTCACCGTTGACAATTTTACAGAGAATATTCAATAATCTATAGAAATATCCATTAACCCCTTATCCTACGATTCCTTTCACAACGGTGCTTGATAAAACTACTTTACCATTAATAATTTAATAGAAAAGGAAAAGAATTTAATGATTAATCTATGTGTACGTTTATAGTAAAGGTTAAAGATTGTTAACAGAAAAGTAATACTTCACGCATATGATAAATAAATAACATTTAGATTTGTCGAGTTTGGTTAAAAATTTTCATCGCGTATCTGACTCGATACTATAAGAGAAGGGGTTCTTCTATTAATTAATCTTGGCAGAAAGTGTCGCATCAAAATCGTTAATGTGATCGATTAAGATGTTTATTACCTTTCTTACTTTTATAGTAGCATATGGACAAAAATACACCGATAGGAAGTGTTGCAGGTGCAATAAAAATATTATGGTATTATGGGTTAACGAGACGCATTGTTATTAAACAAAAGCCCGGAAGTTGTACACGTCAGCGGACGTCAGCGAGTGACTGCCACGCGATAACAACGATGAGGGTGGCAGAGGAATGTCGTGTGGTCAAGTTCGGGAAGCGGCTTTGCGAACTTTCGCCAATCAGCAGGTGGAATCCCGGACGGAACTCACTGACAATTCAATTACAACTGGGAATTCGTGGTCCCGTCCCTAAGCTGAGAAAGTTTGGCGGTTTGACAGTGGCGCGGGGGAGAAGGGCGGGCCGGTCGGTTCATCGAAGAAGAAGGAGGCGACCCACACTTCTCCAAGTGTTATGCAGATTTCTGTTTGGCCAGTCATTAGATTGCAGGCAGAGGATATTTACAAGCACAACAGCCATTACTACCACTGTCTATTCTCCACGCTTTAACTGCTCGGGAGAATGACCATCGTCGAATCTACGATGCATTTCGTTCTGCGTATTATTTTCAACACCATTTGCCATGTTAGTTCTGCGAGCATTAAGTTCCTCCTAGTCTGACTTGCAACAAAAATATAGTTACATCTATTCCGCTTATTGTGCATTGTTCTGCCGTAATAAACGTAAGCAGTTTTTCGTTTATTGTTCATTTATCATTTATATTCTTATACGCTTTTGTAGATTATATTTTAAGGTTGCTTGAATGTGTGCTTTTATTTTATTTTAGTATTATACATTTTTGCTTTGTTCCGATGTGCTCCCTAATGCTGTTTCGTACTGGTGCCTTTTCTTGGAACACCATTTTTTACCTTTTTCGTTCTTTTTGTTTTTGTGATATTTTATGCTCATTGTTCATGTTAATTATTTCTTTTATGCATCAAAGGACTACGTTAAGTATAGTTTACTTAATGGAATTATATATACTTTGTGGTGAATATATTCTGAGGTATATTTGTATATATTGTATGTTATAAAGTGTTCGAATATTTAATAGACTGCTTACAAGATTTTTATTTTATAAGAAATTTAGATGTTGCTGATTTGATATTGAAACAATCATAGAGTACGTAAAGTTCTTTGTATCATAAGAAATGAAATGTTCATTAAAGTCAGGGAAGATGAATACTCACCAGCATAGTTTGGCTCCCGTGTAAGGAATTGATTGCCGCTAGCGCTTCTTGATGTGACGAAAGTTTCACGAATGCACAGCCTGAAATAAAACAAAAATCGTTTCATCAGTTTTCATTGCATCTAATTTGCCACATGTTATAATATAATGATTAATAAAAGGAAACGAAAAAATATCATTCTTATTCAAAATCTTATATAAAAGTAATTTATGAATATATAAATATAAAATCTGAGGCAAAAATTCCATTAACTACTGAAATTGATTCTAGTTTGCCTTCAATTGAATTGGAAAGAGTTCACTGTAACCCTTTACCTTCCGAAGATATTATATATTAAGATACTTTAAAATTTAACTTAATCCATTTCGAAGTATTATCATATGAATGTATATACCTATGCCCAACGTTACAAATATAGGTATATGATTCAATAAAGAATCAACACAATTCTTAGTCAACTAAAGCATTGAATTTCACATCATACGCGACGGAATCTTTCTAAACTATTGAGCCCATAAATAATGCGGTGTTTGTATACTTCTTATATTGTTAAAAATTAAAATGAACGAAACCTTTTTGAATCTAAAATAAACATTCTCCTCCATTACCTACATATTATCTATCTACACATTATAATTAGGTTTAAAAAGCTTTTGTTTATATTGATCGACCGCATTGCTTATAGTATGACCCAATAGAAAACGTACAAAAGCTTCATTTTTCTTTCCTCATTCGTCTTTTTACGATTGAAAGTTCACGCGACGCATGAACAGATTCCGACGAATGCGAAAACCATTTTAATTCCAAGAGTGGAACCGCGGGAAAAGAATGAAAGTAGTTCCATTTCCGTCATTGTCATGCTGTTGGGATTATCCTCGGCGATGATGGAACGATTAATCGCCTCTGCTCCTCTGCCACGTGCGCGCTTATCGTTATAGTTAGATGGAGACACGAAGACAAAGAACTTGAGGGTGCTTTGAAAAATTGACGCGCCACTGGAGCGCAACGTACACTTAATAAAAGATGTTTACCGCGAACAGAGAAACGCTCAGTAATCCGGCACACCATTCCTCGTTTAGAGCCACAACGGTGCGTATCACGCTCAACGAACGATCTTGAAAAATTCTCTCTATTTACATTTATTCGCGAAACAATTCAAACCGTTTTGTCTCACCGTCTGAAAATAATATCTGTTATGTTCGCTTACTGACTGCCTCGTATAACGCGAAGCTTCGTAATTGTATATTTCCGACCTATCATCGTTAATTGTTGGTTTCAATGAAATAGATCTGTTAACTGTGAAATTCAGTTTGAGGAATCTCTCGTTCTGCGTTCAATATAATAAAAAAATTAAGTGTGTACTCGTCAAACGCAGGAGGAATGCATCTAAAGTGTATTTTTATGAAAAATCAGAGCAAAACGAAGAAGTGCGTGTTATCAGAAAAAGTAAAGAATTCATCGTTGAAGGAATTAGTATCAGTTCAAGCTTTAAGATAACCTGTATACTGGTCAAACGCAGATAACTGATTAATAGCCGTTAAAGATACTTCATAAACACAAATATTGTTCCTTCTATTCTTTTCTTATAGGTTTAATGATGGTCATATAGTGGAATCATTAATGTTATTAATATTATTCATTACGAATAATAAATTTCCTCAAACACAATAACAGCTCTACTTATTACATTCAATAGTTCTTGCTTTGCTTTTAATAGTATTTCCATTCTAATACTATTGTTCGGTTGCAAACGTGAAGAGAATTATAAGTATTTCTTTGTACACAAGCTCAGTTACTTATAATATAGTACAGCAACTTAATGGGGTATGGTAATCATAGATTTAGTACCTTTATCGTTACAAGGGAGGAATATAAATTAATCGGTAAGAAAGAAATACTGAGGTAATCGTCGAGTCCTTGGATTTGAATGGGTGAACGGGTTCAGAAATATAAATGAGTTTCGATAACCATATCCTAGCTCAGATAGGCTGGAGCAGGATTGAAGGGAATTGGGGCGAAAAGAGGGTACTTACCTTCGTACCTGCTGGTGTATGACACGATAAAGTCCTGCCTATCTCTGTTTCAGGAGACTGGAACTTTTTGAAATCTCCTCGTAGTTCCAGACTTCGATATCCTACCCTTCTATTCGGAATCGTTATTTAAATGGCACTGGCCAGTGAGGAAGATAATTTTAAACTAATCGATACTTGTATTTATAAAGCTTCACCGTGTGTTCAATTGTATATCTGTATATATACATTAACAATATTCTTAACACTAGAACTACCGTAACAGTCAAAATGACTGTTTTCGGTTTTCTCGTTCCGCTATTATTGATATCTTCGAAGCATTGAACATTCGAAATGATTTTGAAAATAAATAGTTTCACTTGAGTACTATAATGAATGTCTGAAGAAACCGAAAATAATCTATTGTTACAATTTTTATAGAGATTGCATACCAATCGTATTAAACGCTTGGTAGTTCTAGCGTTAAATACACGACACGAGTTATTCTTTTGTAGCAAAGAAAAGCAGGAACAATTATTAATTACTTGCCATTACTATCATTGCATTACACTATTACCACTTTAGTTACGTTATTAAACATTTTCATTCGACATCGATTGTCTTGCATGCTACAATTGTTTTTAAGTAGTACAGAAGCGTCGGTTATCGGTGACTGTCATAGCGTTTAACGTGTTGAATAACTTTCGCCCAACAACGAACACCTCGATATACTTCATATTATCATTAAATTTCAATTTCCCAAAATGCAGAAACTATTTTAAGTGTTCCGGTAGAGCCTGACGTATTCTATCGAGGAATTTGCCAGAAGAATAGCAAAGAACGTCGAAACTTGTCGGTAAAGCGTAGAAGAGAGCGGGGACCGTAGATTCGTGGACAGGGTTTTCTTGCGATTCAACCCCTGTCGCTCACCGACATCGTAAGAATTTGTCCGAGCTTCCAAAGCGTTCTGGCTCACCCCGCTGTTCTTTCTTGTGCAAGCGAAATCTCTCGAAGACGATGCGCTCCTGAGATTTTTCTCCGCCGCTTCGAACCAGACAGGAGTAAGGTCGCACGGAAATAAAAGCCTCGAATTTCTCCAAAGTTTGCGTCCCTATATATACGAATACGTGTGTTCCCATCTTTCTCGTCTGCACGTGTACATGCATACGTGCGTACGCATATAGGTATATACATATGTATACATATATAAAACATATGGGTGTTTTCAAAATGTTTGCACGACCGACGAGGGTGTGGATCTGCATAAAAAATAAGACGAACATATGCAATAAGATATTTTTTTGTGAAACTTCGTGTCGGGGGTAATTGCTTTCGAGACGTTCACACATTTGTCAACGATTTCATTGTAAATGGGTATATGGAAAAAATAAGACACTTAAAGGATTCACTGCTTTTTATAATCCTAATAATAATGTGTGTAAATATTTTATGTTTATAATATTTTTAGACAACTGATATTAACTGTTAAATGTATTAATAAACTAAATGTTAAATTGAATATAATATAATATAATATACATGATTTTTTCATTTATTCAAAAGTTAATTTCTTAAGTGGAACGTTATAAGCTTTTAAATTATATGAAGAATTGAAGATATAGATCTAATTTCTATTATTATACTTTCTACTATTACAGTATTATAGTAACAATTATATTATATTCAATTTAATGTTTAGTTTAATTTCTTTTACGCTGTTATTTGGTATCAAAGTGTTTACTTTTTTTACGAATTACTCAAGGTAAGGTTATTGCAATTTGTGTAGGTTGTTTAATGATACTCTATTATAATACATTACTATACGGTAGAATAATACAAGCAACGCATGTATTACGAGTGAAATAAAAATGAAAAATGTAGAGAATTAAAGTGCGAAGAAGAATGTTCGAACAGAGTCGAACATTTCACTGAATCTGTTCGAAAGAAGCGTTAATATTGGAAGCGTCTTTCTAAAGGCAAGAAGTTCGAAGATCTATTGCATTTTGGAGAAACTTCGTCAACTTCAACACGAGGAACAGCTTCCGCGTGCGATATTGCAGTTATATTGGGCCATAAAATTTTAGAACTACACGATTACTAACCTTGCCTATACTTTCGGTACAAAAGTTACAACAAAGTAATTTATCACGTTCATACCAGTTCACAATAGAAGCATGTACTATACTTTTCACAAACAAATTCTCTAAACCGACGTCATAATAATATAACGAGAAATTCTCATCAGTTTTACGTATGGAGGGTTAAAAATCTAAGCCCGAAGAGATAAACATACGATCAAACAGAATTCTGTTATAAAATACACCAGGCGTTTACAGTAGCCTATGTATTTACAATAAAAATGTTTTAAAAAATGAGAATAAATATTTACAATTTTTACATACACAATTCTAAAATAGTCATTGTCCATTGTTAAAAAAAATACAGATACTTTCAACAGGATATAGGTCCATTTCATAATTGTTGCATAACGAACACTTGCTTGAAGCAACACGTTCAAGGGCAAATAGATTGAAATAAACCTACGGTATGGCTTCCGAGATTTTCACATTTATTACTTAATTATTATTAATATTACCTACAGATATAAAATGATTATAGTAAAATAATGAAACTATATGCATCTGTGCAAAATATAACTCGCACAGCTCAAAAATACGTTCTTATATACAGAAGTCGCATTGGAAATACTGCGTAACTTTATCACTAAAACCTACCCCTAAATACCAAATATTACCGCCATTCTTTCTTGACCTCGTATAACCTCGAAGACCATAACGCGGCACACAGTCGAATTTGATTTGACGCGTGACGTAAAAAAATATATAGCATTCCATTTAAAGAATTAAAGATCGCCTCGGTCCCTCCCAAAATACGTCAAACATAAAAAGTTTATATCGGTCATAATGTTGGTTATAAAAAGCAGTAAAACTTGTTCCTTTTTCATTTTTTCCATATACTTACCATTTACGAGGGACACGCTGGCAAGTGACTGTGTGAACACCTCGTATAGCGCGCATGTGTGCGCTTGTGCGTGTGTATGTGTACGCGAG